AGCGCGGAGCGGGAACGGAGCCGCCGCCCGGCGCCGGGAACGCGGGGGTCGCCCCCGCAGCGCGGCCCCGGGCTCGGGGGGCTCCGCGGCCCCCGTGGATTTCCCTTTGTTTGGAAAGAAAACTTCCTGAAATTTCCTCTTTGGAAACTTCTGGGTTATTAAAGCTCTAAAATCTCCCTGTAAAACCCGAGTTTTCCGTCGCGCGTCTCCACGCCGCTGACCCCCCGGCTCTGCCTTAGTGGCGACCGCAGCCGCTAGCCCGGGGCCTGGGCCCGGCCTGGGGCTTGCACAAAAACAGGGCTTCCCAACGCACGTCTCYGACTTATTTGGTTATTTATTAATGTTTAAACGTAAAGCTGCAGTTTAGAAATGAGGCTTGGCAAGGGGAGTTCCAGTAGTGCCTGGGTGGGAAAGTTTGGTTCCCTTGAACTGCTGTCTTAATTAAAAAAATAGAAATAAAAAGCCGGGTAAAACCTATTGAATGTAATGAGAAAAATACAGGCTTTGATGATATAAGTCGGTTCATCAAGTCAGCAATTTGTGTAAAGAGCTGTTAAGCATTGAGAGATATGGTAAAGCATTGTTAAGCATTGAGAGATATTGTAAATAATAAGAGAACAGCCTTCACTTGTAATGAAAATGCTCCCTGATGTGCAAGGCACCAGAGGACACTGGAAATTATTTGGTATAGGCAGTGGCTTGTCTTCAATATTTGAAAATTCCCTGGTGATTTAGTTTGCAAGAGCAATTTAACATGACAGCATTGAATTCCACGCTGCTTAATTGCTGTATTAGGTCAATGGAGTTTGTTGTTTGGAAATGGTAGTGCCTTTTAAAGATGGAAAAAAAGCTTCAAAATGGCATTATTTAATTATGTAATTGTTAGCTCATGATGTCTAGAGAGCAATAAAGCCCCACTAGTGCTGTAGTTTGCGCTTTTTATGGTACCAATTCTGGAGGCATTCGTGTGYGTGTTTAATTTTAAATATTCACATGTTTCCCGTGGAACGAGGGGGTCTATTCTTAGGCTTGGTGTTCAGCCTGTGCGTCAGTGTTTGCAGGGGCAGGATTGATATTGGCAAGTTTGCGGGATAAACCCGCCACATTTTCATCCCAAAATGTTTTTATTTTTTGCATTCCCTCATATAGCTACACCACTTGGGCTTTGGCAGCGAGGGTTAATCTGCCGACRTGTAAGAAAATACTCCCAGCTGTGCCCCGAGTCTCCTTCCCTGCACGTGAACTGACTTCACGCTCAACTTGCACTGTGCAGCAGCACCGACGTGCCCCTCGCTTCTGAAAGTGTTTTTATCGTATGAATTTACGTWGGTGACGCTCTCTGCGTTCTCGTAGATGTTTATTCCAGTGAACACGAGTTTCGCAAATAACTTGGAGCAAACTCGTGTTTTGGAATTGGGCTGGGGGGAGAGGGGAGGTGTCGCTCGTACTGGGCAGTATGTTTTACAGTAGAAACAAAGTGCATGTGGGTGGTTTTTTGATACAAAATAAGGTATTTCTGAAGATGCAAGATTGTATGTTTTGCATTTCTGCAGCTATTTCTATAAGCTATTTTGTACATTACTGCAGAAAGTACTTTTTTATTCTGAAACTGGAATTGTTCAGTATTTTGGTTTGATTTTTTTTTTCAGCTTAATTTTTGTTTTTAAATAAGCCAATTATTAGGTTGCTCTGTATTTGTAGTAGTTTAAGAATAGTAGTTTAGAGTTTTCTTGCTGTCATCCCAAGAAAACAGACCAAATCAGGTAATACAAGAATTGGAAGGTTATGAATATGCTAGAATAATGCTGTTTAGAAGATATCTTCTACCTGTCAGCCTGTGGAAAAGTGGTGTAGGTTTATTTTGGGCTGCAATGGTAGATGTGCATTGTTTSGCTGTTTTTTGCTCCTTTCCACAGAGAGGAATGTGTTGGTATATCTCATTGCAGAGATTTGCTAATGTTTAGGTACTACTAGTTCCTATAGTGTGCTGAATTTTAAGTAGAACCCTTGGCTGTAGAGCAAAATGGATTGACTAAGGAATACATTCAGTATATAAACAGATAGAGCTTTAAAATACTGTAATTGCAAGCAATTTCATATCATGAAGGCAAAGAAAATATGATTTATCTTGTTCATACCAAAGTGTTTCTAGGAGTGAATCACAAGCCTAAGTGCTATGCACTAAAAGAGAACAAATCTACATCTGGGAGAAGGGGGAAAAGCAGCAGTTGTAGCAGGGCTTTGGGGTTGTGTTTGCTGGGATGGTTTGGTGGTGTCAAATACTTTCCAGCACATTGTGGGGAAAAGAATGAAAATGCAGATACTTTTGTGGTGATAAATTCATGGGAGATGCATAGAGGAAGTGGTTCGGCAGGCTGTGATAGGCTCTGCTTTCTGCTCCCTCTCCAGATTGCYTCCCAATTTGGAGTTTTTACAGTTGTCCCCCAAGAGCTTGCACAGACCTTGGGGAATCTGTCAGGATGTCGTGCATATGGTTAGCAAATAAGCAGGAAAAGCAGAGTGGCCTGTAACYGACAGTAGTGATGTTCAGTCAATGTTCTTATCCATGGATCAGAACTCTTCTAGTTGTGCTTGTGTCACATGGATGTATTTTTCTTTGCATACAGTTTGTGCTTGAATCCAGGTTTTTTGCCTTCCTGGGCAGCCCTCTCTCATTGCAATATTATTTGCACACTTTTAGCCGTGAAAGGCCAAAAAATGTTAGTGCCAGAGGATTCAAACTCGTCTTTGCTCTTCAGGTGGGTGTTGCTCCTAGCTGGGGTCACATATAGGGAATAGAAAGCGGGGGCTGCAGAGGCTTTTGGCCTTGCAGAAGCACCTGTAACTTCGAGCAAAGCAGATGGATTGAAGTAACAAGCAGTTAACTGGTAYGGAGGAGCCAGTTAATGTAAATAGCTTCCAGGGTACGTTATATTGCTCTTGGATGAGCTCTCATGTTCTGCCACAGGAATTCTGTGTTTACCTTGAAAGCACTCGTAGGTGGTGTCTGTCTTTTTTATTATTAACTTTTCTGAAATACAAGTAATGCTTCGGAGTCTAGGTATCTAGTGATATCAGGATTTCTTCTTAAAAAGGTTGACAAGTACCAATAAACCTGCCTTTGTTGGTGCATTTTGGTGTATTTTATCATAACGCAAATGTGCTTTTGTCCGTGTGCTTTGCASTAGTCCCCACATAAAATGAGCTTCATCAGCAGATGTGCTCTTGTGACAGTGTAATAAAACCTCAGGTGTAGGGTTTGCCGCTCGTGTAGCGATGTCATCTGAATCTTTCTCCCAACTGACACTGAGAGCTGCACCAGCAAAGAGAAAAAGATGCCTCTAACCCCCCGGTCGCCTTGTTAGAAATGAAAACATAGCCTTGCCTTCCAAATAATTTGTTCTTCCATCGCCTTCTGTGCTGATCCATGTGCAGATCAGCACGTCCATACGTGGAAGGGCCCTGATTTGGTGTCAGAGGAGCAGCGTGTGAACGGCCACCACACGTGGCCACCGCCCGTGGGTCATCCCACGCCTCTCCGTGCGGAGCCGCTGGCGGTTTGGGCAGCCAGGGGAGGTGTTACCACCCACCCGTGCCTCCCGGGTGGATTTATGGTAGGTTTATGACGTTAGGCTGCTTCTGCAAAGCTGSAGATGAAAAGTTAGAGGAAAAATCTAAGTGTCGCTATCGCTGCTTCCTGTTGCTGCTGCCTTATTGTTAATGCATGATGTCCTTTTAATAGAGCTGTTCCCCTCAACAGTACCATTGATTTTTCTCCTCTTCAATTATTTTTAGGAAGCTGTTGAATTTGATGGTGGTGTTGGAGTCAGACTGAAATAAACACATGGAGAAGTTGGTAGATATGTCGTAAAACCAAAAAGACAGATCCCCATGTGTTGTGCAAGCCTTTTGGTTGTGTTTGAAGAGCTTGGTATAAACCATAGGCTGGTATGATCACGTAGCTATAACTATGGCTTTAATTCAGTAAATGTACACAGCAGCTTTCATGCAAACCCCTTCCAGTCCTTGAGGCTGCCTGCACTGGTGCTTAAATTAACTTTTTTAAACAAGCTTCTTCTCAAGCTGGTTGATTAAGGTTTCCTTCTGTCCAGCCTTTTTCCTGCTATTATTATTATTATTATTATTATTATTATTATTATTATTATTATTGTCTCTAAACCTTTTATTAGGTTTCCTGATGGAAAGTAATGAGACTGACTAGTCTGGGCATCCTGATGAGCTAGTGAAATAGTTCTGCGTCCTTGCACTAGATCCTGCCTGTTTCTTGAATTCATGTTAAATCAAAAACTAGTATAAATCATTACAGGGCTATTTCTACAACTAGTCTATAACTAACTCCTTTTAATTAAGGTTTTAACTTTAAAAATGAATCCCAAGACTTCCTGACTCATGCTAAGGCAATATAAAATGCTATTTATTCGGTATTGAAAGGTTTGCTACTTAATTATTTTAATCCCTTTTGAGTGCTGAAGGTAAAGCTAATTTCACTTAGGTCACATTTAGCAGCTAAAAAGC